TGTGCAAACAACATGTGAAACTCAGAAATGCTGTTACTACCGAAAGTTTGATCTTTGGTCATTCAAACGTTCACAAATTCACACGAGAAGTCACATGCACATCATGCCAAGATTAACATGTGCTCAACGTCATGAAGCCATTGGAATGGTTCGAGCAGGCATGAGCTAACAGCAGGTGGCAGCACATTTCAAATACCATCGTAATACGATGTCTGCATTGGTCAGGCGTTATCGAAACACTAATGACGTCGACGACCATCCACGTTCTAGGCGTCCCCGAGTAACGACGCCAAGACAGGACAGATGAATTCGAGTGACTCATCTCAGACACAGGTTCCAGACGGCAGTGACCACGTCCCAGACTATTCCAGGACTACGCCGTATCCATCCCAACACTGTCAGGAATCGTTTACGTCAGTATGGGATTCGACCACGACGCCCTGCCATACGACCCATTCTGACACAACGTCATCGAGACAACCGTCAAAGATGGTGTCGAAATCATGTTCGCCAACCTCGAATATGGCGGAGGAATGTTGTGTCTACAGATGAATCGAGGTTCAACCTTCCCATAGTAACGGGCGCCAGCGTGTCAACCGGCGCTTAGGGGAACGTTATTCACGCAACTGTATCGTGGAGTGGAATCGTTTTGGAGTGGCTCTGTCATGACTTGGGCTGACGCGACAGAACCCTTCAAGTGATTGTTCAGGGCAACTCATCGGTGCTGGCTACAGGGATCAGACTCTGAGGCCTGTGGCAGTTACTTTTCTGCAACGTCATGGACCAGGATTAACATTTCAGCAAGACAATGCTCGTGCTCACACAGCTAGTATCCCGGGTGAGTTTAAATGGGATATCTGTCTCTTGGAATACAGGAACCCATCAGTGGGTCCACAACACTTTATTCATTGAGCAATGTGTATGACTACATGGTGTTATAACAATGACTAGGCAGCATTACTTAGAGATATATTCAATTTACATAACTCAAGGAATATCGTAAATATCCCTGATAAACCCTGTTCCAAAATGCCTAAGATACAAGGGTTGCAATAGATTTTCTCCACCAGAACAATGTCATGTTATTGACCTGGCCTGCAAATTCACCGGATCTCTCCCACATAGGATGAAATACAGCGCCGTCTACGCCGTCTTTCGCATCCCCCAAGATAACGTTCGTGATTTGGCACGAGATTTGGAGAGGATATGGCAGGCCATTCCCCAGGCCTTCCGTGCTCATTTGGTAGCCTCTATGCGTCGTCGACGCACTGCTGTGCTTCACGTACACGGTGGTCATACCCGTTATTGACTTTGTGACATGTGACCTCCTACTCGATTTTGGACTTCTGACGTCATCGTTACGGATATTGTTCATGTTCTTTTGACATTTTGTTGTGGCCCGCTTATAAAGTGTCTACATCATTCCGTCTTTGCTGTGTTGTATTTCAATTCTGAATCAGTTTTCTGAATATTTTGTCGCATTTTAGTCAATATAAGATCCAAGAATAGTTGTAGCGGAACAGATAGAAACGAGACGATAACATATATAATATAATATAATATATTCCATGGAATAACGTATCATTACCGTAAGTAAAGAATGCATGTTTCCACAATACAAACGTATTGAAAATAGTTTAAGTTTAATGTTGGGATACAGGGGAGTCGTCATGGCTTAATGTTCGGATGTGGACCTAAATATTTATGTGTTTCGTTGATAAACAGCTATGCAGTTTGTGACAATAGAGATAGTTTTACTTATAATGTCATTGACTGCTAACAAGTGAAATATTGACAGATGATCTCAACACCAGGCGATGCAGTTACATCATGCAAATATTGTACTGATAGAAAATAGAGACTTCTACTTCCATAACATATTTTTAGGGACAGTTTTAAATGTTAACCTAAAATACTTCTGATATGTGCATGAGAAAAATAACTGTATGATATTGAAGAATGGTTTTATATATCATTCACATAAACGTAATACTGACATGCACATGTCGCTAGTTTCACGGGACATCTAATCACATGTACCCCTACTGAAACCGCAGTAATGGATAAGCTTGATTACAGAGCAATTATAAAGTTTTTGGTCCTCGAGGGCCACAGGGCGAAGCACATTGAAGAGACATTAAAAACAGTATATGGGAAGTCTTGCCCATTATCTGCAACCACATCTCGATGTGTCTAAGGTTTGCGCAAGATGGGTCCCAAGAAGGCTCACCAGCGAAATGAAGCTGACGAGGGTCATCATAAGTCATGCCATGTGAACAAGATGTAAACAAAACCCACATGATTTCCATTTTATGTTAGTTACTTGTGATGAAACGTGGATTAATACTATGACCCTGAGAGGAAACAGGAATCCATGGAGTGGAAGCACGCCAAGTCTCCTCCGATCAAGAAGTTCAAGTCATCCAGATCGACCAGGAATGTTATGGCCACCGTACTCTTGGATAGCCAAGGCATCATTCACATATATTACCTTTCACGAGGAACTAAGATGAAAGGGGAATATAATGGTACCCTTCTGAAGAAAGTGAGAAGCATGGCAAAACTCAGGGGTGGAGTGCTTCTTATCAGGACAACGCTCCAGTCCATACCAGTCGTGTTTCACTGGCCGCTGTAGAAGAATGTGGATTTGAAATCCTACCTAACATACCCTATTCTCCAGACCTGGCACCAAGAAACTACGACCTGTTTCCTAACCCGAAGAAGCACCTGCGTGGTAGGAGATTCGCCGATGATTATGAACTCACTACAGCTATGGATACGAGGCTACAGGACCAAGAAAAAAACTTCTATAGACAAGGCATAAATGCCTCAGACAAGATGGACGAAGTGCATCGACTTACAAGGCGATTATGCTGAGAAATAAATGGGAATCGCATCGATGGTCTGCCTTTAAATATTTTAGACTCAAAACAGTTTGATAGCCCCTCGTGCATATAACTGCTTACCTGACCCAGCCGGCCAAATAACGGACAAGAATTCATCCTTTGCACTTGAATCGATTCTGATGAGATGACCTCCGTCCAACCGGCAGACCTTAGAAGCCTTAGTTTGCCAGATTTCAGCGTCACCGTATATTTTGAAGCACACATTCAGCGTGGAATTAAAATCATATCCAAGATGACTTGGACATCCATATCCATCTGAAATAAACATTCTCCATTACAGCCACGGCAACTCGAAATTATATGGAACCAAACTCGGGACGTGCATCGAAAATGGGGCTTCTCTCATGCACATAAACAACATTTGGGGGCTCTTTTCGAAGAAAACCTACTGTTTTGAGGTGCACGATAATTAGGTAAGGTTTTCCGTTTCCTCTTATGCTTCTTTTTGAATGCACTTCATCGGACTGGCGAGATCGGAAAAAAGGAAATTTGGCCAAGAAACTTTACATAAGCTTCAGTTACAGATGATCTGGTATTATCCAGTAGCCCTCAATAGCCATTTCCTTTTCACTTGAATGAAAAATCAAGCAGAACAGTGACACTACATCTGTTTGCAGTTCCATGCATAAAGAATAAGAGTTTGGAAAGACTCTCGACAGTACTAAATGATATAAGGGATGACTTCAACTTCCCCTACATGTCCAGTAGCCTCAGGGTTTGTTGTGTATATTTCACAAATACTAAGGTGCAGTCGAGCATGCTCTTCCTGGAAGAATTTTCGCGCATTTCTGACCTAAATAATATCAATTCCCTATTTTGAATGGACAGTTTATCTTCAGGTGAACAATTCAGTGACGTTGCGCAACATGTGTTTGTGACGTTAGCCCCCGCTGGAACAGGATACGCTCATCTTTCCGCGAACATCTGGTATCATGACTACTCGATACTGATTAATAAACAAATACGTGGTCCTCTTGTGTGCGGGTGAAGAATGGCGATGTTGAATTATTCTGTTTTGAACATATACAGCAACAACCTCTGTAATTGACCAGTTTCTATGTTTCCCTAATTCAACTGGACAACCAATCCTCTCCTGTATGAATTTCTGTCATGAAATCAGCAAGTTTGGGATCCTTTCATAAATACGGTAAAAATATCTGGACTTATGTATTCCAAAACACACTTAATTAAAGCAACTGTTGTAAAGTCTTCAGTTATTTTTTTACAATAGCCCCAAGTTACAGGGAGACAGAGGGGCGGTGGAGAAGTGGTTAAAGTGATTATTCGACACGCCGTAGACCGTGGTTCGATTCCCCACATGTGTACAATGTGTGAACCCATTTCCGGTATCCTCCTGCCATGATATAGCTGGAATATATCTTAAAGTGGCGCAAATTCATACACACTCATTCATCACCATTCTCTCTAACAAACAGACTTCACTAAACGCAAGCTCACCGAAGCCATCCACATCAAACGCCAAAAGCCCACCATCAACCGAGACCAAGGATACTTCATTCCATCCGCTTATGATGCACTCATCCACCAAGCCCAATCAACTGTATAAACTCCGCTGTATAAACATCTCATTATTATTTGTACATCATTGGCTTCCACGTCTGTCCTTTGTCTACTCTCTGGCTTCATCAGCTTTCTGCCTAGCCAATTATGTTAATTATGTTGTTTTCTTTGTTACATTGTTACATCCAGTATATGTATACTCCCCCTTCTTCATGTCCCATTATGCTTGACAACGGTACAAGAATCTGTATCGAAACGTCGCACTCACGAATAAAAGAAGTTGTTATCCATAAAGTTTGTTCTATATTGCACTCATTCATCATTGAATGTATCTGATAGAATTAATGACGTTATTTCAATTATTTTTTATGGAAATCTGTGTGATCAGATGGCCAGACAATCACCCTTACCTCTGTTGGTGTTGTAAATGTCCAAGTCAGTATTGATGTCAGTTCCCCAGAAGGGAACTTCAAGCCTGCCTGGATAGGTGTAGCACTGTTTGTTGTTCCTGTTGTAAATCAGGGAGACACACTGCTGGTGTCTCAAGCAAGAGCTGAAGCAGTCCAACACGTTGTCCACATTTGTTGGTGGAGCTATATCCGAAGGGAGGAAGTGCACGAGAGACAGATGGAGCTGAAGTCGCACAAGTGCCATGATCCAGTCTCTGACAATATGGAGAATAGTGGCTACAGTAAAATGAGGTTATAACGAACATAAAGAAAAGAACTAATTTAATTTGGTAATATCAGCCAGTTAATGTATTTTCCAATACCATAGCCGTCATACAGTAGGGATTCGGAAATCATTCCATGTATAAAGTGGTGATCTTTTCAATAATTTTATGTTATATTCAGAAAGAATGGGCTTGGTTCTCAATAATCAATTACCTGTTCCTACAGTTATTACCTATAGCCGTCTATATTGAACCTGCTATCACACGTGAAAACGAGAAACTAAACTAAGGTAATCAGACTCTTTTGTGAAAGGATTTCTCTATCATAATAAACTTAAGGCTAAGGGCAACAAATCATATTGAAATAATTAAACAGTTTGGAACCGAGTATATTGACACATATTGTAATCGTTTTAGCTTCATTATAACCCAAAACAAGCATAAACCCAAGGTGTTTCATGAAGCAATTGTGCCTGGTAGTGAAATAAATCTTTGAAACAAGCTCTTTCTGTACTTAAAAATTGACACTCTTACATGTTTCTATCAAGGTGAGTATGACTGATGCAGCAATGATACCTCTGTATAATAGCCATATTTAACGCTACATAATCAAACATATGTTACATAAATATACTCTCAGATATGTACGTGAAAGTGTAATACAATAATATTACTTACAAACTGATAAACAGCTGTTCCGATATGTGTGGTAAGACGACTTACGTACAAGAATTACATTCTGTTTGAATCCAAATACGTTTTCGTTCGGTTCATTCGTCACATCAAAATTTTATTAAACAGCCGTTTGTTTGTGAAGCCATAATAATAGCCAAAATTGGGCTGTATTGATTTTGACAAGGTCATCTGATACATGTTCCGTTTGCTCGATAATTCAATACATGTCATTATGTTGGGTTACTTAAAGGATAAATATACAGTTCCAACTCACTTGTTTGGCACTGAATTCTTCGTTAAGAATGAAATGTTAACGTGTTAAATGAGTATGTTAAGGTGGTAATGAGTATAGCGTTCATTGACTATTCAACAATTATAGGTTCATAAATCCCAGTTCCGACAGTTCCGGATATCCGTATGTACGTCATAAGTGTGTTGTTTATAAACGTGGCTTACTGTATTTGTTTAAGATGAAATAAGTTAGCTGATATATATGTGTATGTATATTCAAATACCATTTCATTCAAATCTAATATCAATCCGTGATACTGTAGGCAGTCATTGGAGTGCTGTGGACACATTCTTCCCCGGGTCCACACGGAGTGGGAATTCCCCTTATGTTGAAAAAGGGAATCGGTTTTCAATGTTTAATTATATGTACCTGCTACCTAGCGTTAACACAAAACGAGAAACTAAACTGAGGTGAACCTTTTTCCTGAAATCTGTTTTCTTTCACAACATACTTAGGCCATGGTCAACAAACCATGCTGACAACCGTAAATAATTTAAAGCCTATTGTATTGAAATATATTTTTAATCGATTAAGCCTCTTAGTGTGTTTATGACAAAAACAAGCATAGACATACAGACCAGCTTTTTCAGTACTGATCATCATACTTATTTCTTACAAGGTAGGCACTCGTGAAGAGCAACCTCCCCGTGGTGAGTGCTGGGTAAAACTGAAAGCGCTTTCCCCGTGTGGACCCGGGGTAGAATGTGTCCACAGCACTCCAATGCTGGTCGTAAGAGGCGACCAAATTGGGCAACCTGTTTGCCGTGGGTTGCGCCCCTCTGTCGGTGGAGGAAGAGAGTTTGGTGTTTCCAGGAACAGTGTTCCTGTTTTGCCCAACACACAAATTCGACCCTGACTTCGCCTAGACGGGTGGTAGTGAGTGAGTTTAGTTGTACGCCGCACTCAGCAATATTCCAGCTATATGGCGACGGTCTGTAAATAATCGAGTCTGGACCAGACAATCCAGTGATCAGCAGCGTGAACATCGATCTACGCAATGGGGATACGATGACATGTGTCAACCCAGTCAGCGAGCCTGATCACCCGATCCCGTTAGTCGCCTCTTACGACAAGCATGGGTTACTGAAGATCAATATTCTAACCCGGACCTTCATGGGTAGACGAGTGGTAGAATGGGCCCGGTTCTATCAGTCAGCTGGTCATGCCAAGCACTCTGTATTATTTTGTATTTACACATATTATATTAACTGTCATTCCATTTTTGGTCTTGTCCAAGTTTGTTTAAGAAGCTTCTAACCATTTAATTTTAGCTTATTTATAAGAAATCAACTGATATGACAAAACGATATCATTTCATCGCAATAGTCAGGTTTTATCCTTGAATGTAATATTTGCCTGAATTTCACGATCAGTCTTATTTGTATCTTTAATATATTTAATATTTCTGGCTGTGAATAGCTACAAAATTGCTGTTCACTCACTCACTTTTACAAGGTAGGTATGACTGATACAGCATCACATGTCAGGTATCACTACCTCTCTGACGTCTGAACAATGGGATTACCTAACGCTATATTATCAAGCATATGTTACATTTATATACACTGCGATCTATGCAAATACGTTAAAGAGAATTTGAGAAATATTACTTACAAACTTATGAACAGCTGTTCCAAAACGTGAGGTCAAGATGGCTTAGGTACAAGAATTACATTCTGTTGAAATAGAAAATGTACAGTTGTTGGTCAACCATAGCCTGTTTAGTATTGTGCTGTCCTCTATAGATAACATGTTTTGGAGTTAATTACTAGTGTTACATTTATTACTGTGATATTCTAGTTGTTTTACTGTGCTTCGTATACAGGTTTGATTTAGTCACGACATGGCTGAAATATTGCCAAGTGACTTTTATATTATAACTCACTCATTGACTCAATTTAATCGAAATACATATATAACGTAAATATACACTCAATTATGTATTTCAGAAATATTACTTACAAACTGATGAACAGCTGTTCCGATGCGTGCGATGCAGGAGGCTTACGTACAAGAATATATTCCGTTCAGTCGTGGCATTAAACGTACTTCAATTGAGCCGCCATGTCTTTGTCAAGCCAAGATAGATGCTGTCATTAATGTACCGTATTGATTTGGACAAGACCATCTCATACTAAACATCTATAGTTGTGCGAACAACAAGCAGCTCATGTCTTCAGTTTGCTCCATAATTCAATACTTGTAAGTTTGCATAACGGTTTCTCACAAGATACATCAATAAACAACTCCAACGCACTTGTTTAGCACTGAAATCATTCGTGAAATGAAAGCTTATCTTTAATGAGTTCGTCACAACCTTGAATCGAGTGTATCAGATTGGATATCCAACAGTAATAGGTTCTTAAATGTCATGCTTCGTTAATTTAGATTTTACAAGCTGCACAATTGCTAATGGCCCATCAAGAGTAGAGTCATTCAATCACTAGAGAGACGGCGGAACCTAATGACTGGCGACATCATAAACATATTTTGTTATCAGGCAACATGTCTGTAGACTTTAAAAGAGAGAAATGTATGAAACTCTTTTAGAGCCTATAAGCAACATAAAAGTTAATCAATACCGAGACACATGGACATACTGTAATCTATAATCCATTCGTATTAATAAAAGAAACAAAACCCGCTTCATTTTCATCAGAAAACTCTGCACAAACCAGAGCTAATTGTTCACTTCCGACCGTATCAAGAGCATCGGGCGGTAACTATCACTTCAGTTCCTGATTGTTTCTAGATAAGGTACACCTGACCTAACGTTGTGATTCTAACGATTCCCCAATGACTGAACGCTTTTCGTTCATACCAACAAAGCAATCGTCACCATTGTCACAATCATGACAATGCGAATGCAAGGCTAGTGGACTAGAATATATCAGCTTGGTTTTAAGTTTCGCCAGTATGTGTGGGTTTTGCGTTGAGATAACTCTCAGAAATAGACTTTCTATGCAGATTAAACCACTCATGTTGTTTTTTTCTAAAGGTCAATATTGCCTGACCAACAAAGGTACATGTTTTTTCTTTCTTTCCTTGTCATACTTTGCTAACAACGGCCACAAACAAACATGTACTTATTCACACGACATCTCACAAGAAATCTATCGTACAACTTCGAATATATCACAAACAACAGCGATCAGATCATCGACATGCCCAAAGCGAAAGTTAAGCATCTTGGCCAAATTCCCTTGTTTTGACATCGCCAGTTCAGGTAGAAATTCTGCACATCTAACATCTAAAACCTAGATAGGCACTAAAATTGAGGCCCATGGTTCAGCATACTTCTTGCCAAAATGTCGGATCCTTAAATTTCACATTGTTTTCGCTTTTCACATTGCGCGACATTAGCTTTACTTCTGAGCAAATTAAGACAGACATCCAACTTTATCTATGATTATCACGTTTGGTAAGTCATTAAACTGTTTCGACAAAATTATGAGTATGTATTTATAAATTATTATGAAATAGTCATGGTACCAGGTGTTTGCCAAAATTCTGCCCAAACGGCCACAAATAAACAGGTACATAATCACACGACATGGCAAAAGAAATCCATCGTATGTTTCCGAACATATCACGAGCAACAGTAATCAGATTATCGATGTACCTAAAGTGGAAGTCAAACATTTTGGCCAAATCCCCTTGTTTTGACATCGCCAATCCAGGCTGAAATTCAGAGAGGCAACAAGATTGAGGCCCATAGTGTCGCATACATATTGCCAATATGTTTTATCCTTAAATGTCACATTGACTTTGCCTTTGGTGAAGTCCAGCTTTTTACATAGAATTTTCAGTTGGACATTTGCTTTTATTCTGAACAAATTAACATGAACCGTGGAAGACAGAGATGCAGCTAATTTTAAACTAGTGCTCAAAAGAAAGTATACAGTGTGTTTGACCAAACCTGGAAAGATAACAAATTAAAGCATATATAAATGAGCATCTGTTCAATTTGAATAGAGTATTTATTTCTACAGCAAATGTACACAATTTAATTTCATACAAAGTCGAAAGTACAGTTTGACTGACACTGAAAACACGTGGTATCATAGTCTGAACTATTAAACAAATCACCAAGGCGGTTTATTCTGCAAAATGTCATCAAATGTGAAATCAATAGTGAGTGTGACCACCATTGGCTTCAATACAGACCAAACAACATCGATACAATGATGACGTAAGACGACAAATGACGTTTAGGCATGATCCGTTGCCATTTTTTATTTTTTTATGTTTTTTCAATGTTTATTCCATTCCATATAATTATACATATGTAAGGCAGACATGTTATATGGACTATACACATTTCAAAGATCAGTAATTGGGTCATGTTATGCATGTCATGGATAAGCGTAATGGGTTCGTATATGTTTTAACAGATTAATTCATTTATACTATACATAATTCACAATATTATATATATATATATACACACACACACACATACATATATATATATATATATATATATATATATATAAAGTGATAGCTGACAACACTGTGATTAATCATTTTATGAGTGCTTCAAAGGATAATTCAGACAATTGCTTCCATTTTTTCTTAAAGTAGCTATATCTGTTATTTTTTCTTGCTATGAATTGTTCAATTTTACAAATGTCCTTTATTGTTGAGACATTGTTCCTGCAGTTGCTGAGCGGTTACAAAGCTGAAAGGTCAAATGTTTTGACAGAACGGAATTCGATCTGTTTCTGAGATTGTTAAACAAGAAGCAATTCCTTTGTGTTTTTGATAATCCACATGGTATTAAATCCGCTTGCTCAAATACTCTCAGTGAATACACATAAATTCATTCCTTGATTGCATAAAGGATTATGGTAAATCATTAACACTTGGACTTCATGTTATATGTGCAAAACCCAGCAACATATCTCTCTTTGAACAGATTTTTATGGGGCTTTTTAGCTCAGTACTGCAGAGGAATTGACATGTCTTCAGGTTTTAGTGCCAAGCCAAAAGTTGATAATTACTGATGAATGTTTTGAGCAGATGTATTTCTCGGTCAACGTAGCGTTATGTGAGGCATTAGTTGATATGTCACTAAAACTAAGCTGTTTGGTTTAACATATTTCAGGGGGTAGGTCCTTTGTGCCAATTTCTCCCTACTCAAAGGTAGCCAGGGTTACTCCCTCAATTAAGGGTTATTTTATTCCCAGGTGATAACTGGTCACAGGCGATACAACTGGTTGTCTGTGCATCTTCTCCATTGTCTTGTGAGAGAGAAGTATTGGTAACAAACCTGTTTTGATTGATACCTTTTGTATGTACAAAAGGGGCGGTGGGGTAGCCTAGTGGTTAAAGCGTTGGCTCGTCACGCCGAAGACCCGGGTTCGACTCCCCACGTGGGCACAATGTGTTACGCCCATTTCTGGTGTCCCCCGCCGTGATATTGCTGGAATATTGCTAAAAGCGGCGTAAGACTAAACTCAGTCAGTCAGTCAGTATGTACACAAATGGTATTTTATAATTAGTAGAGGCAGTAACCTCAACGTATTGTAAAATTATTGTCCTGGTGAGATATATGTACGACCGCGTCATTCAAATGTGAATTTCAGAATAAGTGTTATAATTCATAGCTAAATTTGAAAAAAAAAACATTTGAAGAAATCCAGCTATGGCCATGCAGGTAGCAAAAGCACTGCACGTCTCTCATCGCCACCTTCAGATGGTGGCAATCTGTAGCCTGTTCTCATAGAGCATTTTATATTGCACACACTTTGCCTTAAAAGTATTATAAATGTTGTCATTGATTGTTTCCTCTCTGCCTGCCTTTCATAAGATGAACAAATCCCCTAATGCTTGAATATGATAAATCGAACATGTTCTTGTTCTGCAAAAGATGGAGTTTAACCTTGGAAGAGCATAGCCTGTGAGCCAAGATCCGAACGAATTCGATTATCGACCCAACATCTGCGTAATCCCAATCACATAGTTTACCACGTAGTTATTTAAGTGTTGTTGTACACCCTGTCTGAAGTTACCGGCGGTACACATCGACATACAGTGCCACAAACCAGTTACAATTAACCTTTCGCCATAGTGGAGTTAACCTTGACCAACCAATGCGGGCATATTAATCTTCAACAGGTATAGGTAATATCCCTATAGTTCCTTTATTTAACCGCATCACATCTCCGGAGACATTGATCAACTGCGTTCATTATTTTCACCGATCTCATGCACATATATTCTACAAGTGCATGATATTCTATGCACGATATCCTACAAGAGCTACTGTTTACAGCTGTAATACAGCAAATACGTTCCCTCAAGTAGAAAAGAGAATTCTCCAGAATTACATGTGTGCAAACGTTAAATGCAACATTTCCATTATGCTCCAATCTCGACTATTAGTTGAAAGTATAATCAAGTGATAAGGATTAATCATTCTTTACGGTCAAGTGACAGAAGATGTATACGACCACATAACAGAACACGGTCTAGTTACCAAGTGCGGTATAGCAACTGGACATTGCCCAGGAATAGATCGGAGCCAAGGAACAGAACACAATCAGGTAAATCAATAACAGTTCTCAAGCTAGAAACCCTTGATGGTTCAGTATAAAAAAGAGGCCATGTAACGTAACACTATCTCCAAACAGAAGAAAGCCCAGAACCAAATACACTCGAGAAACTAAAGATGTTTCGGGCCTTACGTACCCTCTCAGGAGGACAATAATTTTACGCTACTTCAACCCCATTTGAGGGTACAGCCACTAACAATCTCAGTTACATATTTTATTGTCGTTAGTTTAGATAAGTATCTATTTACAAATCATTTAACAAATCTAATTCTTTTTAAAATGCAATGATTAAATGAGAAGTTATATTATTAAAAAGATCCTTCATAGTTCGTGATTTGAAATATACTGAGTCAAAAAAAGAAACTTCACAAAATGTAATTTGAAAAATAATGAATAATTTTTCACTGATGATACATCTATGTATCCGAAATGGGATCCCTATCTTTCGACTCTAGAAAAACGTTAGCAAAACCCACTCAAACCCATCCATTCCTCGTGCAAATGACATTAGTGCTAAATCAGGTTTTGCACGTGCAGTCGATCACGTGATCTTCGCATCGAAGTTATCTTCATATGCACGTGTTTGCATTGGCCTCAAGAATTGAAAAAACACTTTCAAACCACAGTTCTAACGGTACTTGAAATGCCACGGTTGTCAAATGTGCAACGTGAACGTGCCGTTGGCATGTTGCAAGCGGGAAGAT